CCACACTCCCCCAGCATCCCAGTATACTCTCTGGGCTGGGCTGGGCTCTGTTCTCAGCTCGCCCCTCCCCTCTGCTTTCTATCCAGAGCAGGGGCAAGGCATGGCCAGATGCTGCAATGGCACCTGAGGCAAATTCCTCCCTCTGTCCCTTCTTTCTCCACTGGCAAATGCTGCGGACTGCAGCTGGGGTTTGCCAGCCCCAGCCACACCTCCATGGTTTGCCTGCAGCCAGGCAGGGATGGAATTAATTTCTCCCTGCCCCCTCTCTCCCCCGGAACCCTGGGGGTTTGGCTTCAGTCTCAATCATCTCACATATGAGCTGGAGATGTAGTTAAGGGAAGTTAGAGACAGCTTCACCAAAGAATGTAGAGAGCTACATTTACATAAAGCAGAACCTGTAAAAGGTGAGAATACCTAAATAAAGCCTTTATGAATGCCTGGCTGTAAGGAGACACAGGATTATGTAAGATTTATGCAAAGCTTTCTCTTGTCTTCCTCATTTACATTTTAAGTTTTACCAAGTTGCGTACGCTGTGTTTTACTGGGCTGTATCTTAGCTTAGGCAAAGACTTTTAGTAGTTCCTTGTTGTATGCTTTGCAAATTGTTGTGTTCAGTACATGCTTGCTTCAGAGAAAGGACTTTTCCTCCACCCCTACTCCTCAGTCTGGCAGCAGCTCCCCCCACCACGATGGTGCCTGGCATCCCCTGTGTCCTGCTAGCCCCAGATGGTGCCTGGTTGTCTCCTCTGCTCCAGCAGGGAGGGCTGAGAGCCTTGGAGGGCTTTTTTCTTCCCTCCCCTTTGGCAGTGGCTGGCAGGTATGCTTTAGCGCCCGTGCCCCCCTCTGCCCCCCAGCTTCTGGCTTGAGCCGCTGCAGGCATGTGGCTGCATTTCCTAGTTTAACAAAGAATGTCTGCCCAGTTATTAATCTATTTAAGCTGCGCAGCTTAGACTAACTTGCAAAGAGTGAATCAACTCAGGGTCAGGATTTTTGATGGTCTGTCCCTAGCTATTACAATCATCTGAGCATGTGAGCTATTTAAGTTTTGAGGAACAGTACTTCATCTGAGAAGCAGGTTATAAATGAAAATACAGTACTTATTTTTCTCAACTTGGTATTGATGAGGCATTGGCTGGAATTCTGTTTCCAGTTTTGGGCACCACTCTTTAGGAAAGATGTAGACAAATATGAAAAAGTCCAGAGGAACTTAACAAAGATAAAATAAATTTAAAAAACATAAACTGGGATGAAAAGTTGAAGGAATTGGGTTTGCTCAGTTTAGAGCAAAGCATGAGGGCTTTTCTATAATGCTGAGGTGGGGGCTTCCAGCAAGGATCTAGAAATTCACCAATTAGGCTACTGTGGGCTCATCCTTAGCACCTTCTCTTAAGTTGTTTGTCTCTCGCAAGTGACCCTTTGAGGTTCCTTCCAGTCTTACACTTTAAAATTTGTACACTGTACTCTAAATGGATGACATTAATGAAGCATTTTATATTTCTGTGGCCATCTCATCATTAAGTGTCTCACTCATTTTATTTTTATACATCTTTCTTTAACCCTTTCTGTGGTAATGGTGTGCCTAACCAGATCTGAGTAAACAGTCCTTAGGCCTTTTATTCCATGGGAAGTTTTCTGTTCCCCAACTTTAATTTCTTGCCTTTTTTTTTCTACTTTTAGAGTAATACAGAGCTGGAAGTGGAGTTCATAATGGATGAAATGTAAGACCTCAGAAGTGGATGAGGGAGGAAAAACTTTTTGTGGGGCACTCTGGGGTAAAAGATTTGTATCAGTAGTAGGCTTACAAGGAATGTGTCATAGTTTCATAGTTTCTAGGGTCGGAAGGGAC